ATAAAGCCCGTTAAACCATAAAACTTTCTAGTATATTGTTTTATTAGGAGTAAAAATGACACTTTTCGTGGCGAGACTGTAGGTTTGACATACAGCCGAAGCACAAAAGTCATTTTTACTCCGAATAAAACATGCTATTTTTTCAAAAGCCACAAATAATGTTTTAAACAATTTCAAACGTTCCAAATAATATAAAAATATTTAAAACTCATACCTTGTAAGTAATTATCATGATACAAAAAAAACAAGGTATGATATTGCGCAGGTTGGTCACCACGTCACAGGTGATAAACGGCAATATTGGTCGGCAAGCTCCATGCGCCAATTTCAAATTTTCAAACAGATGACACATAATAAATGTGTATAATGTGTCATAACTTTTCAAATGTCCAGCTCGATGATTTTACATAACTTTAGGGGTTATTTAATTCTTCCCTATTTTAGGTCTTTTTTTATTAGTGGCAATTGAACAATACGGATATTTTGTTGTATGGCATATGACGTTACAGGCGATATGCGCAAACTGAACGAAATTGGAGACGCTATCGACCATACCTTGTTTTCAAGTTTGCTTTGTACCATGAGTAATTATATATCGAGAAGCTATGGTTACGGCTCGTTGAATTTGAGACTTATGTCATTTTAATAATATATTTTCATACTTTTATGCCTAGGCGTTGAAATGACTTTTTTATATTGTCAATCATGTCGCAAAAATTAATACTTTTGTGACGTTTGAAAAAAAAATAATATTTTGAAACTAACTGGTATATTTTTCTGCCACAACAAAGTTATTATACAGTGATAAATGATAAGATCATATTGAAATACGCTACTGGGTAAAAAAAATGGCTAAATTTTATCAATAATACTCCATTTCAAAAGTTATTTTTCAAAATAATTAATATTTTTCAATAATTGATTGCAATTAATATTATTTGACTAGTTTAATTTGATTAATTAATAAGACTAGATTAATTTCATTTAAAATAAATTTGATCAGATTTTTTTCGTATATTCAACTACCAGAAAAGTAGAAGGAAGATTATAATGTATCTATCAGAATATTTAAAAGAACTACTACAATAATTTTTAGAGAAAAAACAAAAGAAAAAAAATACCCAAATACCTTCACCTTCTACTCAACTACAAAATAAATGAATATAATCTCTTACAAGAACACTACACAAACTACTTGTATTCTACACTAAACAAATTATCAAACTTATTAATTAATCAAACATAAAGAAAAATTAACCAAATTACCCCTTCACCTACTACTTAACTTCAAAATAAAATATAAAAACACTACTAAATTTCTTCTGGTAGTCTACACTAAACATTATAATCAAACTTAATAAATTAATCTAATTTTACATTACAACTACAAAGAAACAAGAAAATATTTTAAAACTACAAGAAATAAAACTTCGATACGTGCGACCAGTATAATAGATCAAGCGGACAAAGAATATAAAATACTTTAAAATGTGCATTCAGAAAGAAAAATATCTGGAAAATTATCTAAACAAACATTTTTTTCTTATCAGTGAAAAACATCGACCTCGTCGGCCTTGCGGAATTTGTCGGGTATTTACAATGGTCGAATTGTATAATTACCAGCTTTTATAGCATATCTAATAGACAAAAAGTATCTGGTCGATTAGTAACCAATTGGCACAGTCCGAAAATTATCGATTTTTATTTTCTCTGTTTTTATTGGCCGCTTCAAAATTCAGAGTAACAAAAAATATTTTTCTCTAGTAAAAGACTGTGAAATACGCCCCGCCATCTGGTGCTTTACATCCATAAACGTCTTAGGTTGAGCTACTTTAAAAATTCATATACAAGGATATTATTTAGAAGAAAACTGATCAATTGGTAGAGTAAACGCCACGAATGTTTGGGAGTGATTCATCGCTTGATGAAGTTAGAATCGACACGCGCGCTATCATTTTTACATTAAAAACGTAAATTTTTACCGCAGACGTAGGTTTTTAAAGTCCGGTCTAATCATCTGCCTGCGCTCCTCCTATTTATTCTAAAATGTTAGCGTGATTGACAAAGACGATACTATATCGCGTTTCTTTGATTGATTCGTTTTTGTGCGTCAGTCCATTGGTGTGCTTGCAGTGCGACCAATGGGGCATTCCATTTTATATTTATAACCAAATATATGTTTTGACAAGACTTTGACAGTCAAAAAACAAATTACAACAGATTATATATTGATTATTATTATATGACTTGAAACACCACGGCACTGGAATTGTTTTATGTGACCTTGAACAGATTAGTTCACATGGTAGCGACCGATGAATCACTCCCAAACATTCGTGGCGTTTACTATATCGAGTTGTTGCCCAAAATTTCAAGAAGACGAAAAAAGAAGAAAGAAAAAATGTCGAGCTGAAGCCAAATTCATCAAAAATCAACTCCGTCGTTTTTTGATTCTTAAGGAGGGAGGAGTTATGTATCCGGCAAATCAAGGCCATGCCAAGAATAGCTGCAGAAGATCGTCTTCTCCCGAATCAGCATTATTTACATATAAAAGCAAAATGATCTCACACTATTGTCATTCCTGTTTATTCTCTTAATGTTGTCACTGTAACTTTTGAAAATAAAATTTTTTAAAAACGCAGCCCCGAGTTTCTGTTACTTAATTCAAGAACGTTTTTTAAGCTAGTCAGAATCAGAGTGGCCTATGTTATAGTACGTAAGTGGATAATGGTAAATCATCCTCAATTTTATCATATGGTTCTTCTTTCTTTTTGGTTATTTGAGTCAAGTCTATTACTTCGAAATCGATATCTTCTTCCATTTTTTTTTCTCAGCAGCATTTACAATTCTTGGATGTTCTTCTCCATTTATAGGAAAATTGGAACAATTTCCGTTGCACGTCATCAATGACACCATGCGTCGTCTTATATGGAGTTTGCTGGTGGTCGTATTATGATGTGCAATGGAAGTTATTTTAATTTCCCTACAGTAATTTTATTTCTCCTTGGCCGAAGATAAGTACTATAGGTTCTTTCGGTTGTGGCTGTTGACGATGGTAAATCTAAATTGTCTATTATTTTAGAGCTGGAGCAAATTCCTGCCCACCAGACAGGTCCAGAAATAGGTTTTTCGCTGGAAAGGACAAATTCTGTGGCAAAAATATTACCTCCAATTTTGTATTGTACCAGTCAGTGCTTCCATAATGAGATCTACTTGTGAAAAATACTTTGGATGATGCCTTGCAGTTTCATAGATGAACTAGGGCGAAAAAAAAACAATATTTCCAATGTTACGAATCTTGCGGAGAGCACCCACCAAAGTGACGTAGCATATGGCGTTGCACAGACATGGCAATGATATGGCAATAGCGTTGCATGATTTTTCAGGAAGCGCACATATAAGTGATGTGGCAGTGGCGTAAACATGTCGTTCTCAGACGATGAAGATTTGTTAGCAGTTGTTACAGTCAGTGATACAAAATGTATATTGAAGTCCGGATCGTCCTTCATTTTTGCCAAATTCGACTAACTTGTTAATAGCACGTGGCGAAAAGTAGAACCAGTTCTAGTTTTGAAGCAGTGGCATGGCATGCTACAACGACAAATGACACGTTTCTGATAGCGCTACTTCAGTGTGCGCTGACACACGTATTGTCGTTTGTTCAATTCGACGTAACTTGATAGATGCATGTTACTTGCCAGATTACGTGCCACGTTAGATGCTACGTCACTTTGGTGGGCGCTCTCACTTATTAGGGAGAGCGCCCACCAAAGTGACGTAGCAAGTAACGTACACACATGGCAATAACGTTGCATGATTTTTCAGGAAGCGCACATATAAGTGATGTGGCAGGGGAGTAAACATGTCGTTCTCAGAGGATGAAAATTTGTTAGCAGTTGTAAACCTAATTAATATGAACCGAAATTATCCAAAGCGTCGCTATTGGATACACCCCTTTTGCAAAAAGAGACAAAGGAGTGGATTTAGTGTTTTCAAGGAATGGAATATCTATCCTGAAAGATTTCAAGCATTTTATAGAATGAAAATAGAAACCTTCGATGTGCTAGTTAGAAAAGTTATTCCCATGCTAAGTCTTGTTTATTCCTGTTGGAATAACCGGCACGAGGGTGGTCATAAATGCATGATTTAGTCTCAACCAGTGATACAAAACGGATATTGAAGTCCGGATCGTCCTTCATTTTTGCTAAGTTCGAGTAACGTGTGAATAGCACGTGGCGAAAAGTAGAACCAGTTGTACTTTTGAAGCAGTGGCATGGCATGCTACAACGACAAATGACACGTTTCTGATAGCGCTACTTCAGTTAGTTATTCTATGCTTGCCAGATTATGTGCCACGTCAGATGTTACGTCACTTTGGTGGGCGCTCTCACTTACGTAATATTACCAAAATTACCGGTAATATTACCGCGGTATATTACTATTCACAAGTAGTTTCGACACGTTTTTAACAAATGAAAATAGGTCAAGACAAGCGGATATAAGCCGAGTTAACCGGAGATAAGACGAGGCGAGACAAAGTTAGATGAGGCAACACGACCTTGACCTACTTCGGACTGTTTTCCGCATAGTGTAGAAGGTGTATAAGAAACTAGCTAAACTGATGATTCATTATAGGGAAAATATTCTTTAGAAAATCTGCTTACAGAATTACATTGCTGTAATTTGGCAACATCGGCGATCTGCGCATGCCTATTGCCTGTGAGTAAATGTATCGGTGTAGCTTTATCGAATATACGTCTCAAGGACGGTCACTGAAAACACACCGTTACCGATAATAATCAATAGCTTTGTTCCGATTTTTAATATTACCGATTCTAGACCGTCCTAGAAAAAATTGCCACATATTTCTCGGTCTCCTTTCACGGTCTTTCTGCGCATGCGTATATTTCTAGGACGGTTCAGAATCGGCAATAAGATGATTAGACGACTGAGTAAGCTTTTATGTTTTAATCATAATAATTTTTTTTATTTTTTTTTAGGTTTTACTTAGCTTATGTTTGGCTTTATGTAGGCGAAATGGGTGATTTTAATTCTAGGAAAAATGTTAATGAATATAGCAGAAATCCAGGAAGAACAAACGTACGATCTTTTGGCAACGGAGCATCTTGGAGACCAGGTATTATATTTAATAATATTATTAAGTATCTTAATAGTGCCATGAGATGTTTTTCTCATTTAATAAAGCCTTGTTTAATATGATAGTTATAACTATACAAATAATTTTTAGATAATTATTGGAAAAACTGGAAATCATCCTTTTTCACAAATAATTTTATACACCCTATTATAAGGTCGTAGATTACAAATCTAAACTTTTTTTTTGGCGCTCTCTTACCATTTTTCACGAAAATTTATTTGAACATTGAATTTTTCTTAATTTAAGCCGTATAAAGTAACTTTATTACTTTATAGTTTATCTAAAAGCCACTCTTGATTGGGGATAGAAAATATCCAAAACTGCACTGAAAAACACTTCTTAACAAAATAAAGAAGGAAAATTGAGACGTGGACGGCAACTGACATATATATATATATATATATATATATATATATATATATATATATATATATATATATATATATATATATATATATATATATATATATATATATATATATATATATATATATATATATATATATTATATATGTCATAATATTTTAATTTTAAATATGTGTGTAATATAATTTAAATTAATACCGTATGATCGAAAAAAAAAACGGCGTCCAGTTGGCTGGGAAATGACGATCGATGACATTTCCCATATAAATTTACATGTAAAATGACAGCGATCTTCATTTCATAGCCATCGCTGACGCCGTTTTTTCTCGATCATACGGTATAATGAACTTTATACTAAGAACATTATTTATACATTCACAAAATACAACAAAATTTAATTATGTAGTTTGAAAACAAAGAAAACTGATTGAAAATATAAAAAAAGGTTAAGCGCGACACCTTGTGTCAAAATTAGATTTTCGTAATTTTACACCATTTGATGATTGTTCGCACGGTCAGTTCTTAACATCTGATAATAATGGGTAATTATTGGGAAAAGTGGAAATCGTCCGATTTTCACCAAAATTGGTATACACCCTATTTTGAGGTCGTAGATTACGAATCTGAACTTGTTTCCTGGCGGTCTCTTACCGTTTTTCAGAAAAACGGAAAATTATGTCAACATTGAATTTTTCTTAATTTCTCGTATTTTTAAGGTTTTTTCGCACATATTTTGTTAGGTATTCAATAAACAATCAGGTTTTTGCTATTTTCTGTTACTTTTTTAACCAATTCTATGCATAATAGAGGAAAATTTGCTAAAATAAATTTGTAAATAATCTGAAAATGTTGGGTTATGCGTTTCTGACATTTAAAGCGACGTTGCCAATGCTAAACCTAAATTTAGCGCGTTTTTTTCGCCTCCTCTGGGATTACCAAATTCACGGAAAGGGAAATATTTTCCCCTACATTCCAAGGCAAAAACCGTTAGATTCTAACGATTTTTCCAACTGATTTTTATTGATTAATGTGCACGAGGTGCAGTTAGAGCTTTTTTCTGCGACTGAAGACAATTAAGTATTTAGCAATGGAGCCCTGCAATGGATGCACTTTGGACGTCGGAGGTATGTATAATATAGTCAATGATGAGGGTAAACTAAATATTTTTTTATTTTCTCATGGGGTATTTTCTATCGAACCTATAAATTGTCCGAGATGCCATGTAATATAGTGTATTTGTCTAAAAATAGGGGACTAAATGTACGTTTAAAATTGGGGCAAAGAGGGGAACTTTTTTTGAGAAGGCGCATTTGGACATTCAGACAATTTATAAGTTCGTGTTTTACTGGTTAGCCCATAATCACGGGCAGGAGTGGATGATGGTCGAGCTGCAATTGGCGTCCGATACTGTTGTCAACTGGACAAATTTCTGCAGGGAAGTTTGCTTAATTTGTCTGGTTGATAACTCCCAAAAGGTGGGGGGCCCAGGGGTTATTGTAGAGATCGACGAATGTAAGATGGGCAAACGAAAATATAATAGAGGTAGAGTAATTTACGGTCAATGGATTTTCGGAGGAATCGAACGGGAATCAAAAAAGCTCTTTTTGGTACCCGTTGAAGAATGGTTGAAGGAGCATCTGCTGGCGGTTATTCAAGAATGGGTACTACCGGGTACTACAATAATATCGGATTGTTGGAAATCGTACAACTGCTTGGCAGATGAAGGTTTCCAACATCTGACGGTAAACCACTCCCAAAATTTTGTCGATCCAGACACTGGAGCACACACGCAAAATATTGAGAGAGCATGGAGGGATCTGCGCGGAAATGTTCCTAAATATGGCCGGGCAAAAGATCATTTTCCCGGTTATTTGGCGGAACATTTATTTCGGAGGAAATTTCGAACACCCAAACATCAGGAGATGTACCATGAATTTTTTAAATATATCTCAAATGTCTATCCCCCTCTGCCAATATGGAGCAAAACGCTTAGGTGGATTACTGTGCCTCTATTTTATTGTGAGAGTGGACGATTGAATGATGATTTACAAAAAAAAAACAAAAAAAAACTGTACCAAAACCCAAACTAACTTAACCTTAACCAAACCCAATTTATTATTCTATCCACAACTACTCTCATATGTCCTAGAAAATGGCGAGCGAAATGATCCCACCCTCATATCCCTTTCCTGGCAGAGATTTGTCCCGCCTCCACGTGGCCTCTGCTGGACTGCAAATTTTTTCTATTTGACATAATTACTAATAATTAATTAAGATATCTACTTAACAGACACCTATTATAATGTTAAAATTAATGTAAGCTTGAATATTATATATTGATAAACTTCTTAGAAAAATGTTGTTGACGAAGTTGGACAAAACCTACATTGAATGTTGGATTATTATTGTAGTTTAATTAAATATGTACTTATTTTAATAAAAAGTATATTAAATAAAACGTATTTTATTTAAACTCCCTAATCCCCCGAAAAAATACAAGACATGGCAACGTTGCAAATTTTCAGATTTCTAGATCAGATCTAGATTATATTTGTCTCTCTCGTTGCATAGGAGAGAGAAAGAAGGATATATGAACGGTCAAGTGTCAATCTTGTCAGTTTTGGTGGAAATTTTCTTTGTTTATTTTATTAAGAAAAGTGTTTTTCAGTAAAATTTTGGGTATTTTTCTATCCACAATCAAGAACAGCTCTTAGATAAACTATAATATAATGAAAATATAGCGATATTACTACTTTATACAGCGGAAATTAAGAAAAATTCAATGTTGACATAATTTTCCGTTTTTCTGAAAAACGGTAAGAGACCGCCAGGAAACAAGTTCAGATTCGTAATCTACGACCTCAAAATAGGGTGTAACCAATTTTGGTGAAAATCGGACGATTTCCACTTTTCCCAATAATTACCTAATAATGTAATAAAAACGTTATTTTTATGCAGAAACAGTGTTATTGGGATTTAATAGTATAAAATTACTAATACAAATAAAATTACTTTTTTAATCTATGTTATAGGCTAAAAAAGTTATTTTTTAGCATTGCATCCTTTCAAATTATTCAGTTTTTCATCATATTCTTTCTAAATAGTTATTTGCTAGAAACGTTTGTTGGTGGTGCGGACTATAGAAATACATATATAAGCTGCTGGTTTCAGAACTCTGTATGGAGGTGAATAATTACACACATAAATTTTACTTATTAGTAGAATATACGAGTAATTCATATAAAATCACAATTCTCTTAAATTTATAAAACTTACATTAATAAGACACTAACATCTAACTTTTCGTCCATTGTTTCCGCATAGAAATACGAAGGCCGTCTGGGAAATCCCCTTCATGATTCGATCAGATCATATATGGAGCAGATATAATCTGAGAGATCAGATATGAGAAACCATTAAAAATGCGACAAATTTTGAAAAATTACATTTTGGTATATTTTTGGATTTTTCTGAAATACACAAAAAAATCAGATTCTTGATCGATGACATCAAAATAATAGCTCTGTACGTTTGACATACAGCCAAGGCACAAAAAGTCATTTTTACTCGGAATAGAACATGCTATTTTTTTTCAGACGCCACAAATAAGTTTTTAAACAATTTCAAACGTTCCAAATAATATAAGAAGATTCATACCTTGTAAAAGAAGTCATACCTTGTATGTAATTATATATCGAGAAATAACTATGGTTACGCTCGTTGAATTTGACACTGTATGTCAGTTTAATAATATATGTTCGTACTTTTATGATTAGGCGTAAACATGCGTAAAAGTGATTTACTTTTATGCCTAGGCATTATGTCGTCAATCACGTCGCAAAAATTAGATAATATTAATATAAGTTTTTATTTTTAATGTCAAAAAATAGCAACCACAACAACGCAACGTGACGTGGCATTTCAGTGCTTTCATAGCCACCTTTTTGTGCGTACAATCGCATCCCAAGCAGGATCGAGCACAGCTCTTGTTTGGAGTTTAGATCGAGAAATCCGTAGAAGCGGTGAATAATGAAACCATTATTCACTAGTGAATAATGAATATTATTATTATTTTATAAACTCATGTATAATAATCAAATTATAGACGAGTCGTGGATAATAGTATATTATTCAACGAGCATATTATGGTGGCTGTTATTCACGCGGATGAAGTTTATGACATGAGCCGCAGGCGAGTGCCATAAATCATCCAAGCGAATAACAGCCATTATATGCGAGTAGATTACTATACTTTATCCAGAACTATCAAAAACATTCATCTCGCCTGCGGCTCGTGTCATAAACTTCATCCGCGTGAATAACACCATTATATGCGAGTAGAATACTATACTTTATCCAGGACTATCAAAAAATTTTAGATAATATTAATATAGATTTTTATTTTTAATGTCAAAAAAATATTGAACGAGTAAGTAACATGGAAACAAAACTTTGAAATTTTCTTTAACTAGGTAGCTAACTAATTTAGCTTTAACTAATTAAAATAAACATTATTTATTTACATTAATGGTAATGTTTGACAGCTCTTGTTTGGAGTTTGGATCGAGATATCCGTGTAAGCGATGAATAATGAAACCATTATTCACTAGTGAATAATGAATATTATTATTATTTCATAAACTCATGTACAATAATCAAATTATCGACGAATCGTGGATAAAAAATATTATATGCGGTACATATTAAAAGATTAATATAATACCGTATGATCGAATAAAAACGGCGTCAGCGATGGCTATGAAATGAAGATCGCTGTCATTTTATATGTAAAATTATAATGGAAATGTCATCGATCGCCATTTCCAAGCCAACTGGACGCCATTTTTTTTCGATCATACGGTACAATATGTATTAAAACATGTTTTATGTAATTACTAATTGTTATGCTGGGTCAATCAGTTTCTGCTAATGTTGTTAACCTATTTTGTTGAATAATCTTTGTTCTGTTTTTCGCAAAATGTAATTATTAGAAATTTCTATATTCGTTCGAAGATAGAAATGGAATTTTTCAGATTGCAATTCTTCATATAAATGATGATATTCACCTAACCGAAATCTAATATTAAGGAAGTCATTATTCTCTTTCTGCTCACTGTTTTGCTCTCCGCTCCACTATTTGCGTAGGTTCAGTTGTATTGAATTATTGTTTTAAATTTTTTAGGCGATAGGAATACTGCCGGAAGCTCAGGATTTAATCGGAATAATGACAGACGTTTAAACCAAAAACCATCCTATACAAATCGGCCGGAAAGAAGCATGGGGCTTAGATATATAGAAGACTTGCTGAATCTTGATCCCAAAGCTATAGTATTTAAATTGTCAGATGATAAAAATGGTTTTTTAAAACTTCTAGCTAATAAATCAATTAGCAATGATTTGATCATTTTAATCTTAAAATTGACACACAAAGTTTGCGAAGTCTCTTTTAATGATGTAAAAATTAAACTTTTAACTAACGTATTACGTAGTCATTTCATGGATAAACTTAACTCTTATATAAGTTCCATATCACATCAGGTATACTAATGTTGTTTGAATGAAATTGTTTTTAATAATTGTACTTTATTTCAGTCTTCAGTTGAGAAAAACGACAATAGTTATTTTTGGGAAAATACTGAAAATTTCTATAAGAATTTGTTATTGTTAGCAACAACTGTACATGAAATGATTCCTTCATACTCTGAAAATATATATCGGATATTAACTACTCTTAATGTCTTTATACCTTTAATTGAAGAACAACATGCCATGCATATATCCGATGGTATTAAAGGATCACTGAAACATTTGTTATTTGTTTTAAAGAAAGATATAGAGTGTTTGCAAAGAAAACCTAGCCAGAAAGATAAAATAGTGGTGGATGAACTTGAACCCCCTGATGACTTCAGAAAAATTGCCGTCGTACCAACAGCTAAAGAAATTTTAATGGAAGAATCACCATACTTACGTGCAAACATTATTAATGGAGCTTATAAAAATTATGATCACTATTTAGATATCCAGTTTAGGTTATTACGTGAAGATTTTGTATCTCCATTACGTAGAGGAATTCAAAATTTTTTATTTAACGAGGATAAGGAAAAACAAGAACGAAGAAAATTGGAAAACATAAGGTTTTATAAAAATGTCATGTTTTTGAACGCTGAACCGATCAACGAGAACTACTGTTACAAAGTTCAGTTTGATTTTAGCAAAAAAAATACATCTTCATTTGAGAACTCAAAAAGATTTATGTTTGGGTCTTTAATATGTTTCACAAATGACAATTTTCAAACACTACTATTTGGAAAAGTTGTTGAAAGAGACGTCAACCTTTTAAATGGCGGTATTGTAGTTATTGGGTTTGAGTCCAACGTAAACATCGATTTTAAAACTACTTATTTGATGATAGAAAGTAGTATTTATTTTGAACCATATTTTCATGTGCTCAATGTACTGAAAAAAATGAACGGTAACAATTTTCCTATGGAAAAATACATAATAAGAGTAGAGACAAATGTCAAACCTCCCAAATATTTATTGCAAACTACTTCAGTGTTTTATAAAATTGATGGTACAAATGTATCGCCCTTAAATTTTCCAGTTGATAAATCGTTCTATAATTTTAATGATTCACAGATGAAAGCATTCAAAGCTGCTCTAACTGAAGAATTTTGTATTATTCAAGGACCACCTGGAACAGGAAAAACGTTTTTAGGTATTTTGTTAATTTCGTGGGGATACTATAGTTTAGTTCTAATTACCGATTTTGAACAATCCTAGACCTATAATATGTATGCGCAGAAGGAAATATGTCGCAATTTTGTCCATCAGCGCATGGGCTGTAGTGTTCTAGGGCAGTTCAAAATCGGTAATAATGAAAACACGAAGAATGCTGTTCCGGAGTGTTAAGTGGCTCTCACACGAACAATAATATTGTCAATGTCAATATGTTTTATTGTCAATGTTTAGCAATATTTGATGGCCAAATTAAAATATACCACCCTCTATCTCAAAAGTTAAGACGTTTAGGACCCACAATCAAGAAGTTTTTTTTCTTCGAGTGTGTCCAGAAATGACCCCCTTAAATATTAGCATGCCATTAAGGAACACCCTGTATATTAATTAAGAATTTCACTGTATTGAATAGTTTACTATAATATAATTTAACATATACCTTAGCCACAGCAACCCGTAGCCAGGTCAATAATCGGTCAATAATTTTCATATTACTGATCATGTGAGGGCTGCTTTAAAGACTAAAGTACAATATACAGGGTTGTTCACCATATACGACACGGAGTATTGTAGCTAAACGATTAGATTTTTACAAATTGTAAGTTTTGGGTTCGTTGAAGGTCTATTAGAGCTACAATTTAGAAATATTTTTACAAGATACAGAGTGTCCCAAATAAGTAAAAAATATAGTTGTATTTTTTTAAATGGAACACCCTGTATATTATTCTATTTTTGGATTCTACGATTGAAATAAAGGTAAATTTGATTAAGGTTTATCACATTTAAACCTTACGGTTTTTGAAATATTTTCAATTTTATAAAATTGTAGTAAAAATTTTAAGGCTTTATTTCTCCAAGGGTATCAAAGTTTTTAATACTAAATATTTACTGAAGATTATTTATTGATCAGATATTGTGTTGCAATAATAAAAATTTTACTACCTTATACAGAGTGTCCAAAAATTTATATTAAGTAATTACTAGCTTTAAACAGCAATAATTTGTTTAATTTAAACGGAACACCCTATATATTTTACGTGAATCAGATGTACAATGTAATTGTCTATCAAATTGTGTTGTTCCATTTTTTACCCATCTCTTCAAGTTTTCATAGAAAATGTATTTTCTTATAATTTAGACCTCATTTATCACTATACCCATGGAACATTGACATTTTAGCTTATTTTTAAAAATGTAACAAATTTTCAAAGGGTGCAGATACTAATATTGTTGATATAGTTCGCTTATTTAATTAAAAAATAAAAAAAAACTGTTTAAATATTTTTTATTAAAGAGGACCAATTAATATGATCCCAGTATTCAAACTACATTAATTGACTGTTTACGTTGTAGTAATAATTGCTCCAAATACTAAAAAACTGAATTTTGTGTGTGTATTAGACAGTGTGGTAAAAAGTAACACCTTATAAATTTTATTTCATTTATTGACGAATGCTTATTTATAAAAACAGAGACGTCCATTTTCATAACTTATTATTATATTGATTTCTGAGCCATTCCACATTTTATTAGTATACTTTATTAATTAAAACAATTTAAAAGTATTTAATTAACTAATTTTTGGTATTTTTGATAGGAAATAATGGTGGTATATTTAATTGGTACACACTTTTACAAAGATTTAAATAGTTTTTTTGTATGCCAATGGGCTTGCAATATTTACCACCTGTACAATTTGTACAAATTATGGTGCTATAAAAAAATCTGAAATGTCAATATTCCATGGGTATAGTGATAAATGAGGTCTAAATTATAAGAAAATGCATTTTCTACGAAAACTTGAAGAGATGGGTAAAAAATGGTATAATACAATTTGATAGACAATTATATTGTGAGTTATATGTATAAATAAGTGTTATTTCATTGTAATTAAATACTGAATGCCTATTTTACATTATGTCACATATAAAAGCGAACTGCACGGTTCAAAGCAGACTTTTCACTCTCTGTACTTTGTCGAGAACGTTTGTAACAATAAAATCGTTTTTTAAAAACAACTCTGTTAATTCAGACCTCAAAACTGGCGCAGTCGGTAGGATTTCGTGTATTCCCTTTCGAGTGTCACATGCAGTGGTAAATCGGGAAGTGCGGTTTCAACCCTTAAACGCGAAATTCGAACAAAACTTTGTGAAGTGAAGACAGGATAGTGCAATCGATCCGGATTAGCTGTCTAAACCTGAACGAGCAAAGAAAGTTGTCGCAAACCACCCCGACGAAGACAGCAGAGAGCGGAGTCCAGGAAAAGGACAGGAAAGACTTCAAAAAGAAGTAAGTGCCTTCCTTTTTGCCCCTTTTGGTATACCTCTGTTTAAGGAAATCAGTAGGGATAGTTATAGGAGCAGTCTATCGAAGACATTAGATTAAGAAAAACAAAAACCAAAAAGTAAAAAATTCTTAGAAGTAAAGTAACAAAGAAAAAGTTACCTAGTATTACATTTTTATTAAGTAAAAATAATAAAAAATAAATATAAAAATAAAATAAAATTTACGCTCATAGATCGTAAATGAAAAACTAGCACGTTAATGAGTGTAGACGAGTTAGCGGACAGACTATCAAATTTAACAGTAAAACTTAATACAGAAATAAATAAAATGAATGCGAGAACAAGTGCTTCAGAAAATGAAAATATGCGAACTGTAAATTGGAATATTTTTAAGTCAAAAGTACAAAATATTAAGCCCTTTGACGGAAACAGTAATACATTAAATACTTTTATATTTAAATGCGAATCACTTTTACTAAAATATGCGACCGTACCAGACGAGGATTTTAAACAGCATGTTTTTGAGTGTGTACAGTCTAAATTAGTAGGAAAAGCCGAGATAATGGTGGGAAACAGATTAGAATTAGATAATTGGTCGAAATTAAAAGCCGCTTTAATACAATGTTTCTCAGATAGACGTGATTTAGATTGCCTAATCCAAGAATTGACGAGAACGCGACCGTTTAAAAACGAACATCTCTTAAGTTTTGGCAGCAGATTACAACTCTTAAAAAGTAACGTAATTCAAAGAATCAGTAACGATACGTGCCTAGCGCCTCTAGAGAAAACGTGTCAGATAAGCCACTATGATAAGACCGCGTTAAATACATTTATTGCAGGTTGCAGCGGAACTTTAAGAAACAATCTTTACATTAAAAAACCGACATCCTTAGAAGATGCAATGGCGTGCGTAAATGAATTTGAAAATTTTGAAATGCTCTATGGCAGTTCTAACGAACAAAACAAGGTGTACAAAACACAAAATTTCCATCAAAAGCCAGCACAACAAAATTTCCAAAATCAAAATAATTTTTCTAACACAACAAATTTTCCACACAACAATTCTAACTATCAAAATAATAATAGACAACAATTTAATAATCAAAATCAATTTAATCACCCAAATCAATACAATCAATTCAATCAAAATGTACCTAATACAAATTTTAACCAAAAACAACCTTGGCCTTGTCAACCAATTAATATTACTCCAAGAGAAATGCCTCCAAGACGATATCCAACAAATAGAGAAGTCTTTGGACCACCTATAAATGTCTTTAAGCCAAAGCCCATTCCACCACACCAACAATCAAAACCAGAGCCTATGTCTACAACTTCAGCAAACCCATCTTTTGCTTCGAAGAAAAGGGATAGTCAAATCCAATCATATCAGAATAGACAGTATCCAATACCTTTCCAAGCAACTGGACCACCAGATTTCACCTTCCAAGAATTATTTACTAATGATTACAACGAAGATATGAATAATTATGCGTACCAAGACACAACAAATACGCATCCCTATGAACAAAACTATAATTATACCGATTATAACAATTATGACGAATACGAAAACCAATATTCTGAAGAATACCCTGTTCATAGTTTGGAAGAAGAATTTCAACAGGAACCCGAATACGAGAAAGTTGTTGAGGAACAAAAATCCTGCACAAGAGGAAATTTTCGGAAACCCAGCCAGAAAGAAGGAAAAACATGATAGAAATAAACATCTGTTCAAGTAACGCTCTTCCGTATGTAGAAATAAAACATCCTAAGTTAAAATTATTAATCGATACCGGAAGCTCGCGCTCTATTTTAAAACCATCTATTGTAGAAAACTTTTTCCCGAACTGTATCTATCAAACAACCAATATAATCAAAACAGCTATTGGTCAAAAATCAACAAAATATCAAGCTGACCTCTCATTCCCGGAATTTGGAAGAAATCAAAAATTAAATTTATTTTATTTGATTTCCACGATTATTTCGATGGAGTTATAGGTTTAAAAGACTTAATAAATATGAACTTAAATATCGATTTAACTAATAAAAGATTAATAAACAATTTTGTCGAAATACCGTTCAAATATCGCCAACCGGAAGAAATAAATTTTTCTTTTTCTATAAACCCTCACGAAAAACTAATAAAAAAAGTTCCAGTTAATATTTTTCAAGGAGAAATTATAACTCGACCAAAAGAAGAGTTCGATTACAATATCAAATACAAAAAAGGCAAACAAAATCAAGCAGCCGATGCGTTATCAAGAATACCAATAAATAATCAAGAGTTAAACGCCTTAGAGACAGAATCAATCGATAATAACCCAGGAGATATTGACGAAGTAATCGAAGAATTAATAAAAAATAGAGAAAGTTTACCTGATATAGAAGAAAAAGAATTAGAAGAAATATTAGGAATAAAACCTAAACCAAAAATAATTATCCACTCAGATATACAAATAAGACCACCAAATCCTATAAAGAAAAAAGAATCAACTGATCTAGAAACACGTCATACCTCTCTAGAAGAACCAATAATAGGTCTCCCTATTTCAGAACGTTCATTAAACACTTATAAAAATCAAGTAATATTCACCTACGGAGAGATCGATAATATAAAATGTAGACACGAACAAATATTCAAAAATACTCGAATATATGTAACTATATCACAACGCCGATCAACAGAAAACTT